GAGACATTGTGGAACATCCATAACTGCGTTCCTGGCTGTGGAATCACTCACTTTCCTCTTACACAGGTGTAGCAACAGGAGGATTTCTGCCACCCTCACTCCTGTGAGAGGCTTTGTCCTGTGCTTCTGAAACCTCGAGGTCCCCATGGCAGGGTTAGGCACAAGCATTAAAGTGCTCCTTGGCTCTCTTGATGAGAACTGAGCTGGCCTGTTGCAGGATTCAAGTGAGGAAGTCTTAAAGCATAGTCTAGTGCCACTGGTGAGCTGGGTCAAGGATTGGTGACTGTACTGTGCTGCTTAGTGTCAGGCAGTGCCTCTGTGCTTGACAGCTTGCAACCAATGCCTTTCAATTCTTTCCCCCAATATGTTTTTTTCTGCCAGTTACATAAGGACTTTTAAACTTGAACCTTGTTAGAAGTTGTGTTTTTGTTTTGAGAGTCTGTTTTTCATTTGTACTCACACCTTGCACAGTCAAGAGGTACCCAGTGATGGCAGTGGGGAAAGCATGCCGCACAGTAATAGTCAGGGTTATGTCTCTTGCAGTAGAATAGTACACCTTCCCTCTGCAGCCTGTGTTCTTCTATGAAACGAGTAACTCTTAAGTTTTTGTTTGTGTATGTGAGAGAATGCATTGTTTTGTGGTTGCCAAAGTGGTATTTAAGAGAGACTTCATGAGAAATTTGAAGGTGAAGCTGGATAAAGAAAACATTAGATGAGAATGGAAGGAGTGAGGGAGGACTTGATTTCTTACCTCATTTCATTTTTGTGGTTGGCCATGTTTGGGTTTGCTTTCCCTAAGTGGTGGTCTTTCAATCACATCCTGCCTACAGTGAACTACAGTTAACAACATCGTGCTGAGCTACAGGGTGAACTACAGGAGCATCAGTTTCTCTTGACCTCATGGCTGAAGAGCCCAATCCTGCAGTTAGAACTGCAGGTGAATTCCTGAACAAAAAGCCAGAGCTAGAACTGTGTCAGCAATATGCACCCCTTTGCAGGTTTGCTGGCTGCAGTTCCTGGTGGCCTGTAATTCCTCAGGAAAGCTCCAGATTCACATTATTCTTAGCTACTGATGTGCAGATAGTCCTGCCAGGGACTGGCACCTGTTGTGCTCACAAACTTACAGGCCATCCCCGACCTTATTGTGAGCCATGTAGGAAGAGCTGGGGATAGACAGAGACATTGCTGAAGCATTCTGAGTTCCTGTAAATGAAAAGAGAGTGGAAGACCATGGAGTGTGAGAATGCCATTTGGTAGATGATAAGTCTTCTGGCACGTAAGCCATTTTGTTCAAGTATGTTTGCTTCACAAGTTGGCTGTCTGTCTAGGGAAGGAAAGAATTCTGATGTACTGCAAATTGATGGTCAGAGATGATGGATTTGGAAAGAAGTGCTATTTTCACCTACACTTCATTGGTAAATCTGTCTTTAGCTGTTCTTTCTTTTTGCAAAAGATTTCTTTATATACAGATTTCATGTTGAGTAGTGTAAACTTCCTTCTTAGCTCAGTTTGAATCTGTCAGTGTTCCATGCCACACACTTGTGAGTTCCCGGGTTTAGCACTTGTTTAAATATATGTGTAATTCTTTTTCTTATTTAAGTTTCTTTATTTGTATTCCCTCTAATTTGTTTGAGATGCTCTTTCATACATCATGTTAAACATCAGTCATCAAGTGCTCATAATGTATTTTGAAACAAGTATGCAAAATTGCAGCGTGATCCTTCACTGATTACAGAACTATAGCATATGAATTAATAAGGAAATAAAAACAGCATAATTAATTTCCAGCTGCTTTTGGAGAAACAGAGGTGTTTATAAGGGGAAATTCGGTGTGTGCAAATGAAAGAATGACAAAGCTGGTAGCAAATATATTAATTCAGGCAATTTTTCACAATTTACTTCCTCTGTTGTATCGATTAAAAATATGTTTTAGTGCTGAAAGAGTAAGCAGAAGCTTCAGTGCCATTCTTTTAAAAATATTGGACTAAATAAAGAGCACAAGTGTCAGAAGTAGAGCAGGGGAAGGAAGTTTTTAACTTCATTTCTTTGTATGGAAGATGTTAAATAAGGGAAGTAAATGACTTAAAGTGTAATGGTTGAATTTGTCCATTTCTCATTACTATGAGATTTCCATTAATATGAGAAAATTGCCTCTGTGTGTGTGTGTAAGACAATTTTTGAGTGTTAAGTATTTTCCTCGCATCTCTTGAATGCACTTGTGCTCATCTCTCTCACCTCAGCACTGTGTACCAAAGCAGCAGAAGGTAAATGAAGTCCATGCTCTGAAGTGACCCAGGCAAAATCTCACACTGTGGGGGCCCTCCCATGGTTTGGTCCCTCTGAGTCCTTTGGAGGAAGCTGTTGAATGGATCTGGATACTCAGTTGCCGCTTTGGAAATCACTTAGTTTGCTGCTACTCAGGGCTGGCCTGCTCTTCAGGTGGGAGCTCCAAACAGCTTTGGGTCTGTGTGCCTGCGACATCTTCCTGGTTTTTAACCAGCAAAGGAAGATCCTGCCCTCCTGAGGAGATATGTCTAGAGGAAATGGATTATTTATTTATATAGTGAAGTGGACTCTCGAGGATGTCCCTGTCTGAGCTTTCTGTTTTGCTGTGCCATGTGCTGATGGGGCCCAAAGTGAGTGAGAGGATGCTGGAGTGCACAGAGGGAAGCACCTGAGAAAACTCACCAGATACTGTGTTTGGTCTAAGAAGCGTTCTGCTGGTTTCTCTGCCACGACTGATCTGGTTTGTGTGCACAGTCTTGCTTCCCTGGATGGACCTACAGGGCTGCATTTTATGTTTACTGTTACTCTTCACAGAAAGAAGGAAATCAAAATGGGAGGTAAGGTTGTCGTCACAGACATCCCCGTGGCGTGGGTTACGTGAGAGAAGGGCACAGTTCAGGCCTACAGTGGGGACAGTACATGTTCTCTTATTCAAGGATCCTAAAGGAAAAATAATATCTTGGAGTGGGGGATGGTGTTTTATGGAACTCTAACAGGCTTTGCAGAGATTGAGTAGGGCTGAAGGAGAGAGTGGGGGCAGGCACACTAAGAGCAGGGAAGGTTTTATGCCTCCTATTCCTGGCCCTTGTGAGCCCCTCTGTGTGTGCTCACGTGTCTGCTGCCTTGACATTCCAGTTATACCTATTGAACTGATTTAAATCAGGATTTCGCTCAATAAACACTTAGTTTAAATTGGTGCTTGTAATCTCATTTTGCTTTGGTATTTTTGTTTTTTCAGAAGCAGTCTCTATTGGTAGACAACCTTTAAAATATGTTGCTAAATTTAGCCTTTCCTTTTTTTTGTTATTTCAGAGCATGCACTGTATGCCTGCACACCTTCTAAGTGATTTCATGGCTTATGTACATTTACCTAGATTGCAACTGTTAAGAAAGTTTTTATTTAGGACATTACAAATTATGCCTTTTTTTAATTGTGGCCTTTAATAATGTCCTACTTAATAAAATTACACTCATGCATAAACAAACAAGTAAATGCAAACAGATTTTGTCCTTAAAATAAAAGTATTATCCCATGTAAGGTAACTGATTCTGCTTAACCAAATGCAAGCATTTAAAACTAACAGAACTCAAACTTCTTTGTTTTCTCAGAAGAGAAGGAAAACTAATAATCTTACTTTCAACTCCCAGTTAGTTTCTTGGCTTTACAGGAAGTGTCATTAAGTGACTTATGGATCAAAGTCTCTGCAGATGCAATGGAAGGTATTAGTTTCAGGTAACTTAGTTCTAAACGTAGTACTTGTTCTTGGTACTTCAAGGAAGGCTTACCTGTTGAGTATTTGAGCTTTGTTTACAGTTTTGATACCAAACATTTTCAATTTATTTTAATTTAATATAAATCGAGTTATGTAATATGACAGTGGAATTTAACAGTGGTTTGTAATAATTTAAAGGCAAATTGCAATTAGGTATTTTTTTGTTAAAATACACCTAGCAACAATAACATCTGAAATGTGGATATGATTTCTTCATTTAGAAAGAGTTCATTTGTAACAGTATCTGTTTCTGTTAAGCAGAATATATTTTTTTAGATGACTTTTGCATTTATTATCTGGTTCCTATTTGTAACAGCTGATACCTTGAGCAGTATCTCCTGGCATTAAGGAATGCAGCATAGCTGACTAGGTAACACTGGCCATATTAATATTTCTTTTTTTGTGGGTGCTAGACCCCTCTGTAACTTCTGAAAGATAGAGATCAACAGATCTCTGTTTACACTGATCTGTACTTAACATTAAAAAAAATTATCTTAAAATTGCTGTTGCAAGCTTTTCTTTTGACTATGTGGTATGTGATTATAACTTTAATGGTTGAGGGGGTACTTTACAACATCCAGGAAAGAATCTTAGCACTGCTGGTGAGAGAAAGCAAAACATGAAACCCTGTTGTTACTTTATGCTGCATGTATTGCTAATGTATTAGAGGGAAAAGAAATAAGGGGAAAAAATGGTATATATGCCATAGCAGCTCTGTGGCTGACACAAATTCTAACCCCCACCCTACCAAAATATTAATAGCATCGGAGCAGTCAAAGAGCTTGATAACATGTATTGACTCTGCAGCTCCACACCATTTTTTCTGCAGCAGGGGAACTGTGTAGCAGTATTTGTGACCATTAAGGAATGCAGAGTTAGACCTCAGGTAGGAGAAGAGTTGTGCTCAGAAATGTGAAGTGTGCCTGAGGCCTGGTAGTCCAGTTACACAAACTGTGTACGAATGCAGTTTTGCCCCTGCCACCCAAAAAAGAGAAGTTACATACTTCAAGAGATGGTATTATGGCCTTTACTCTCTGGTGCAAACATAGGTTTCACAATGCTTTATTTTCCCTGTTTTTCTGTTTTGTATTATTTTGTATCAATGTATAGGATATTCAAAGTCTCAGCAGTTACTGTGGTCTAGTAGAACTAAATATGATAAGATTAGAAAGCTGAATAGAAATCAGAGGAAAATTGAAGCAAAGGTCAAGGTGCTATTGTAAGCTGCAAATGTTTAAAATGGTCAATTTTTATTAAGAAATAAAAAGAAAACCTTCCTTAAAAAATTGAAATGGGAAAATTACTGAGTATTTCTTATTCATAAGAGAATAAGCCAAAGTAGGATGGATCACTCATCCTGAAAGGGTCATCATTTTCACCCTTAATTCAAGATCAAAAAAATAGCATAGTCACGTATTTAGGTAACTTTTTTGATAGGAGCTGTTTATTGCTGAAGCATTCTTGGTTTTAACTGCTCTAAAATAATTAGTTTTTTTTTACATAAGTGTGTTCCAGCAGAATGCTTTACTTCTCACCCACTGTGCTGCTCTTGTGCACAGGAGTGTTGTGTTCTCTGGTGCACTTCACCTGGAGAACTGCTTCTAGCTCTGTGATCCCCAGTATAATAAAGGCATGGACCTGTTGGAGCAAGTCCAGAGGAGGGGTATGCAGTTGATCAGAGGGCTGCAGCACCTTTCCTATGGGAACAAGCAGAGAGTTGGGATTTTTCAACTTGGAGAAGACATGGCTCCAGGAAGACCTTGTAGCAGCTTTCCAGTACCTCATGTGGCCTGTGAGAGAGATGGAGAGAGCACAATTTCACGAGAGCAGGTAGTGACAGGACAAGGGGTAATGGCTTCAAACTGAAAGAGAGTAGATTTAGATTACATATTAGGAAATATGTGATTTGATGACTGCACAGCCTGCCCAGAGAAGTTGTGGTTGCACCATCCCTGGAAGTGTTCAAGGCCAGGCTGGATGGGGCTTGAGCAAGCTGGTCTAGTTGAAGGTATCCCTGTCCATAGCTGGGGAGTTTGAATTAGATGACCTTCAAGGTCCCTTTCAACCCAAACCATTCTATGATTCTATAGTGTGGCTGATTTTATAATTACTTTCATAGGATTGGATTATTCTTGTCCTAACTTGCTTCTTCCTCCCCACTCCCCCCCTTAGACATGTGAAATGTTGAGGCTTTCTTTCCTTTCAGAAAGTAAGTATTGGAGCCAAGATTTTATCAGGAGAATCCGTATCTTTGACAGTGTTCTGTCTGAAGTGTCTCAGAAAAACCTGTTAATCCACATGTGCTTAGCAGTGTTCTCCTGCTAGATGACATTGAAATGGGCTACTGGTCAGGCTAAAAAATCTGGGTGTAAAATTCACTTTGGTCTGAAGTCAGAGTTGATGTGAGCTTGTGCAATTCTTCTGAGACTGCTGAACAGAATTTAGTTGTGTTAGTCTGGGGGATTGTGGCAAAACCAGTTAGGAGCAGTGTGTGTTTAAAACACAGCTGAAATTACATCAGTAGCACTTGATCAGAAGAATGAGACACCCTTGTTTCCTTTTATTTTTTATTTAGGATAGGAGAAGAGGTGGCAATGGGTAATAGAGATGGTGGTATCCCATCACTTCAATTAAAACTCACTTTTTTCTCTTTCTTTGGAGAGTTAGTCAGATGGATGAACTTAGTGAAATAATCAACTGGCAGTCCATATTTAGATGATGGGCCAGTCTTTTTCTTGGAACAATTTTAAACTGAGGAACCAGAAGCATTTCTGCTAGTGCTCAACCAAAGTGGTTGCCAAGCAGTCTGCTTTCATGGTGGCCCTAGCCAAGCACAGAGGGAGTGGAAAAGCAGGTTCACTGTCTTTGCCTGAGCACTTCAAGTTTGTGTAAGGTAAACTGCAGAGGAATGTCCTTTGCAAAGTATCATACATGTTGTGCACTGTCTGCAAAATAGGTTCTGTTGCTTCCCCAAGTACTTCTTCCACACACTAAAAGTGAAGGGGGCAGCTTACCATATGTGTGATTTCACCTATTTCCCATCCAAAAAAGAGCTATGCTGTTGCCCAGGAGCTTCATCCCATTAGGTGTAATCACTGTCATGCTGAGTTCAGTGAGAAATTTGTTACAGACTTCAGTGGAAATAAAGATTTTCTTACAAGTCAGAATTTATGGATCTCATTGAGGTTTCTTGAAGGATCATCTGTACTTTACCAGTATTATAATGATACTGATGATTGGTGTGAATTTCCCAGTTTTACAAATGTGGTTGAAAGTATGCAGTAGCCTTAGAATAAAGGCAGAGTATGTCACTGCAGCCTTTTCATCTACAGAGACCAAAAAAAGCAATTTCACCAATTACCAACTTGGTATGGTGATAGCTTCTTCCCCATGTAAAGTGTTGTGCAGTTTCTGAAAGAAAAACTTGCGAGTAGCAGGGCAGAAAGGTGAGAAGAGTTGTCCACATCTGTTGGTTATTTGTTTTTTTTGTTAGTCCCATCAGGGTAAAATGGCAGTTGCATTAATTGTAGTTGTGTGATAATACTTGGGGGAAAATTTTACACTGAGGCTCAGTTTTGTTTGATTGTGAAGATCTAGAAAAAGGTCTTTCTCTGCAGAGATAGACCTTAGGTCCATCCTACCTGAGAATCAAAACAATTCACCTTCTAAATATAATAAAATCTTTTGAGAGTGTGTATTGTAGAACACAGGTAGTGTTGTCATTTGTATATTATGTATTTTTTTAAACAGCATGTTTTTAGGGTGTAATAACATTTTACTCTTTTGTTGCATGCTTTTGCAGGCATCAACTAACTACATTTTACAAACATTTCAGAGCCAGTGCTACCCACCCCCATTTTGCAGATTGCAGAGTAGACTCAGGGATATTCAGGTAAGACCAGATGACTGGTGTCAGAATCAAGTACAGAATTCCTAAACTTCCTGCAAGTTCTTACATGACTGTTAAACTTACTATATCAACTATCTCTTTGTTACTAAAATATCTGCCCTATGCACATTACTTTCTGATATTGGTTGGTGAAAAAATGGTGGTGAGCTGTTGATTTGTAACTTACTGGTTGAGTACTTGTGAACTTAGAAACTTGAGAAATATGTTTGCATCCAAGTTCAATTCAGGATTCTTCCTTCCTAAGGGCATGTGCTGCCTGACAGGAAAATACCCTTGCAGGTCAGAGCTTTTGAGCCTGGTCTTTTGTTCTTCCAAGCTAAGTTCTCTTGTTTATGTAGTGCTGCGTGAATATTGCTCTCTGTTCTTCCTAATTCTCTGAAAATGACTTTTGCAAGGATGCATAGACATGTTTTGTTCGTTGTACAAGATGTGTGAAGGTGATAAAAACATATTTGTACTGGTTCTAAGAATGAGCCAAAATGTCCTATTGCTCAGAATGACTTTGTAAAGTCAGGCTTTGTTTCTACTTATGTATTTCAGTGTGTTCAGTTCAGCTCTTCAGCCAGAGCTTCTTGCTCTAAGGATTGGCACAAGTGGCCTGGAAGGAAGTCAGCAATGTGGCAGTGTAGGGTTTTGTGGAGTACTTTGGAATTCAGGTGCCAAGTTTGAACTTGTAGTTTTGTATTGGGTCAGTAACAAGCAAGCCTAGTGACTGTCTTTCAAAGCAGATAAGACTGAGAATCCCTGGATCTTTTGCTTTCATTTCTAAAGCTACTACAGTTCAGAACTGTGGACTTGTGTGCACCTAGGGTTTTAAATAACTTCTGTTTTCTCAGTTGGTACACAGTCTTGGGCATAGCAGAGTCTGATTTACAGAAAACTCTTTAATATCTTGTTCACCTTCTGATTTAAAATCCAGTTATCTGTATGCTATACTGTTGATCTGTAGATCCCAAGGGAGTTATCTCCCTTCCTTGCTCTACAGTTCCAGTCAGCACTTTCAGGTTTTTTAACTGCTGACCTTTTTTAAAATGTGAGCAAGTTTGCATCTTTTGGACTGAGTTTTTTCCTCTGTTGGCCTTATCCTTAGGACAGTGGACTTGCAGGGTTATTCTAGCAATTCTGTCTGCAAGAACAAATCCCAAAACAACTGAAAAACAAATTCTAAAAAAACCGCAAGAAAACAAAGAATGGGAAAATGGCCTATAGATTTTAAGGAGCTTGTCCTGAAAAATGCTGGTCCTGCTTGTTATCCAAATAATGTATTTTTATTTCACAAATACAAAAGTTTTTTGTTCCATTCATTTTTAAGAATTGTGCTTTAGTTGTGGAGAGCACAAAGATCTTTGTATACTTGATAATTTTAGGGCCCAGTCCTGCAATGCCTCTGTCATAGCAGTCTCCTTGAGCTATTGCAGTTGCAGGATTGAAACTGTACATGCAGCTAATCTTACAGGGGCCTGATCCTGCTCTGAGCCATTTTGGCACAGATCCTTGGGCACGTGCACAGTTCTGGGTAAGCTCTTGTGGCTTGGCATCAATGAAACAATGGTGAAGATGGATCTGATTGTGTATTCCGGTTTATGAAGCAGTGAGGTTCCTCTTGGAAATCTCATAAAGTGGGCTGTGTACAGAAGATTGCAAAGTCTAATCTGGGTGATTTTTGAGAGGTGTTTCTCAAGAAATAAGACATTTAGTTTCAGACCTTTCCTCTTTTCTCCTTAAAATGTGAGGCCTAAACAGTTGACAGCGGAAGCAGATCAGTAAGAATATATACAAAATAAAAAACAGAAGGAGCAAGTGGCTCAGTAGTGTTTGACTTGTTTTGTGTGTTTTTGTTTGTTTTTAAATACTTCTTTCTCTAGTAAGTACATGAATAAAGTAATTAATTTATGTAACTTCTTGGAAAGTTCCCTTAACAAAAGTTTGCAAAAGTTAAATAATGTTTTTGTAGAAAAATAAATATTCTGAGAAAATGTAAAACAAATCTTATCCTGACAGCTAGGCAGTAGCGTTTCAGATGGGAACCAGGCTCAAGCCATGCCATGACTCTTCCTTGACCTGGACCAGATGTTTGTCTCCTTGGAGAACTCACAACTTCAAGCAAAGTTAATGCTGGTCAGTTTTTGCTGCTGGTGTTCAGAATACTGTGCAATACTTTCAGGAAGAACTGAAAAATCATCAGGTAATTTTCAATCTGCTGCTGCTTGCGAGTTCTGTATTGTTATATTAAGTCCAGCTGAGTTAAACTTACCCTGACTAGACATGCTCTCCTTGGTATGAGAAGTGTGTTTGTGCTTCCACTGGTTTCAAAGCATCCTGAAGAATAAGGTAGTAACTCAACTCTCTAGTACTGCAATTTGACTGCCATGGGCATGCAGACATGCAGAAAGTTAGTTCAGGGATCTTCTTGCTGGATTAGTAACACTGCAGAAAATAGGACTAGTAGAGAAATAAAATAAAAATATATGTCAGTATATTATTCATTTGCATCAAAATGGAATTTCTTGTAAGGTCCTAGTATTTACTTCGTATGCTTTATGGTGTTATTGAGACCTGCAGTGAGTGTTGGATCTGATCCATTCTGTTGCTAGAGCATGCTATTTCTTTTTCTCTGTAGCCAAGGACTGAAGGTGGCTCTTAGATACATGTCTGCAGTTCCAGTGAGACTGACATAACATCAGGGCACTCCAGAGCAGGGAAATATCTGAAGCAAATAAGCTCTGGGTAAGGAGGTGTCTGTGTTCCTAAAACCCACAGTGAGATAGAGAACAGTGGTGCCTGTCCTGTCCATGCAAGGTGCTGGCTGTTTTGGGGTCAGAATATGCCCTGTTCCAGACTGATGACTCTTCTAGAGCTCCCTACCAGTTTGTCTGACTGGATTTCCTGTAGTGGAGATTGGGATGGGTAAGAACAGCTGTGAGAGGAGTGTTTTGGTGCCTTCCAGAAGGTCAGGACTCTGACATACCTCAGTCTGGGAGAGATTCTCAGTGTTGGAGCAGAGGTGTGGTCAAAGATTGTCATGAACACCTATTAGCTTTGCCTTATAAGTTAACTGTGTGGCTGCTAGGATCTTAAAAATATATGGGAAGAGATAAGATGGTGTGTGTGAGGAAATATGATGGCTGTCAGAGACACCCTCATGTCTGAAGTTACTAGGGAAGCTAGTGAGATCCTGAAACTTCTTATTTAAAAAAATACAATTTGTTTCTTAGGTATGCTGTGCCAATTGATTCATAGTCTGACATTTTGTTATTGTTTCAGTCTTGAGCAAAAATTAGTTCTGTTTATGGATTAAAAGATAGTCTTGCTATATTTCCTTTGGCTGTGAATCTGTAATTATTGTTCTGGAGTCCATTTATGAGCTACTAAAGGCCTTTAGTAGAGGTGATTTGTTTTTGATATCAGGAAGAGCTGTTCCTGTTTCAAGTCTGCTTGCAGTTTTTTCTCTAGCAGAAGGAAGTTCCAAGGAGTTAAGTTTGCTGCAGTTGGCATCACGTACACAGCATGATAGATCTCCCAAGTTCACTGAAGCAGTTGTGGGATGGTGGGGGCAAGAAGTGCTCCCTAACTGGTCTTGCATTTTTGTGCATCTGTAACAAATCACTTGACTCCAAGAATAGACAGGAGCAGATTTGTTGAGGTTGTTAATAGGGTTCATGGAGTCACATCATCTGCAATCCTCTGTGCTCTCAGTTTTGATGTTTGGAGCAGCAGAGGTTTGGCTTAAATAAAAAGAGAACCTCATCCCTTCCCAGTGATTACAACTGCTCTTGTCTTTTGCATCTCCACAAAGTAGGTGTGACAAATTACCTGTCAGAGGGGCAGTAGACAACATGGAAGACATAAGGATGAGGATCCATGCATTTTCACCATCCTGTTACTATGGTGAAGAAGTCTTCCTCTTCCAGCTGTCTTATTCTTCTTTGGAGAACTTGCCTCATTCATTAAGTTGGCCATGTATGATAGAGGTGGAGCTGGATGAGGAGTGGAAAAACATAAAACAGGAAGTCAAATTGCAGTTAAAAAGTAGATAAATGTAAATGGGTCTTTCGGGAGAACAAGACATGTTATCACCATATAAAAAGTTAAGCATATATGTAATTCTTTATGAGACTGAGGTTATTATTTGGTTTAAAAATTGCACCTGAATGCAAGGATTTTCAGTCTAAATTTGTATTATTTCTGTGTGGAATCTATTTTGAATATGTGAAATTTGCTAGTGGTGACATGTATTTGATCATAATGTTATTTTAAACTTGGACGCATCAGCTTCCAAAACTTAGGATTTTTGACAGATATTTAAATATTTAAAACACCCTCCATAAGATTACTAAATCCAGCAGTTGGATTTAGTAAACAATGCTAGGGATAATGAACCAGAAAATACTCAAAATGGCGCATCCTCTCCATAAATATTTCTCTCTTATTTCAACATTCACCAGGGTGAATCACAAGAAAAGTAACTCCCAAATGTTTATTTGTTTTAACTCACTAGTTTACTGATGATCCAAGCTTTCAGGGAAACCCATGAAGTCCCACAAGGTGGCAGGAGCTAACTGTTCTATACTAGACCATTATGTGATCTAAAGGACAGTAAAGGTAATAAACTCATTTCACTAGTGGCATTCATTCAGATCATAAGCTGGTTAGGCCAAAACACCTTATTTCAAACACCTTTGTGTTTCTTAGACTTCTGAATAATTTTGGCAAATGAACAAGATTATGTCCTCAAGAATCTTACTTCCAGACAGAAAGTTCAAGTATTCTTACTTTTGCAACTAAGTACAGCAAACAGGACTTCTATTTTCAGTAGGTAGTAGTAATTTGCTTATAATGTGCACTGTCACTGTAGATGGAGAACAGGGATGAATCCATTCAGGAACTTGGTGATGAATGAGGTTCACAGTTCAGCAATTGGAAGTGAGCATCTCTACCAAGTTCACATTGACACTGTGGGAATGCTGATCTTGATGTGGGACAAAGGGCTGAGGAGCTGCAGAAGTGGAGGAATTCTCTGCTGCTTCAGTATGTCTCCTCAAAAGCAGGGTTTGAGACTTGTGGTTATATCCCCATGCTTGCTTAACCTTGCACTTTGAGTTCCAAGTTTCATTTAAAAAAAGAAATCTCTGGCCTTCCTTAGAAATCCATGGGCTTGAGGGTTTTAGCTGGCAGAAGTAACACTGAAAGAAACAGTAATAAGGTGAAGTGATTATTCAGTGGACCACAAAGTGTTGGTTTGAGACTTGTGAATCTCTTGATTTGTGTTTAGAGATCTTATTTTCAACATAATTCAACAGAATGATTAGGTTGGATGAGATCTCCAAGATCCTCATGTCCAACCCATGTCCTAATGCCACAACTAGACTGGCACTGAGTACCACATCCAGTCTTTTTATAACATATCATGGGATGGTGACTCCACCACCTCCCTGGGCTGACCACTCCAGTACTTTATCACTCTTTTTGTGAAAAACTTTTTCCTGATATCCAACCTGTATTTCCTTTGGCCTCTTTTTCTGTCAGCTGCTGCCTGGAGAGAGACCAACCCCACCTGCCTACAGCCACCTCTCAGGAAGTTGTAGAGAGTGATAAGGTCACCCCCAAGTCTCCTTTTCTCCAGGCTAAACAACCCCAGCTCCCTCAGCTGTTCCTCACAGGGTTTGTGTTCCCAGCCCCTCACCAGCCTCGTTGCCTCCTCTGGACGTGTTCAAGTGTCCCAGCGCCCTTCCCAAACTGAGGGCCCAGAACTGGACACAGCACTCCAGGTGTGGCCTCACCAGTGCTGAGCACAGGGGAAGAATGACCTCCCTGCTCTTGCTGGCCACATCCTGATCCAGGCCAGGGGCCATTGGCCTTCTTGGCCACCAGGGCACAGGGCTGGCTCATGTCCAGCTGCTGTCACCAGCACCCCCAGGTCCCTTTCTGCCTGGGCACTGCCCAGCCACACTGTCCCCAGCCTGTAGTGCTGCAGGGGGTTACTGCAGCTAAAATGTGGGACCCAGCACTTGGACTTGTTAAACTTCATCCTGTTGGATTCTGCCCATCCATCCAACCATTCCAGGTCTCTCTGCAGAGCCCTCCTACCTTCCAACAGATGGACACACGCCCCCAGCTTAGTTTCATCTGCAAATTTTCTGGTGAAAGACTTAATACCCTCATCCATGTCATCACTAAAAATATTGAATAGAACTGGCACCAGCACAGACCCCTGAGGAACACCACTAGTGAGTGGCCCACAGCTAATTTAAATCAGCTAATGTCCATTTTTGTTTTTTTGAATGAGAGGAGAAATGTGTATATTAGGCAGGTATCGTTGGGAATATGAACAGTGCTTATGTGGATAGGCAATGCAATTCAGTAGGACTAAGGTGAAACAGATTAGGTAGCTTTCTTAATCAGTAGACACATACTATGAGTAAAAATAATTCAACTCTCATAAGAAATTTAAAATCCCATGCCACTTGATGTCAATTGCATGTCATTATGATCTAGAAGTTTCTAAGCCTGTGTTATGGGGATATCTGCAATAGGGTGAATTAAATGAAAATCCTTCCACACCTGCTATGAAATAGTATTGATGGAAGGAACTTGCTACACAACTGAATTTAGATGTTCTTGACTTACAGACCTGTTGCACTAGTATGTGTTGTCCAGTAAAATACCTACATCTCACATTGGGGTGATGGGACAAGATAGAATTGAGCATTCTCAGCACCTGCCACAAAGAAGCAGCATAAACCATTGTCCTGTCGAAATATGCATTCTTCAGACAGCACCTGCCACAAAGAAGCAGCATAAACCATTGTCCTGTCGAAATATGCATTCTTCAGAGGCATTTATTTTTACACCCCTAAGGTGTAAAAAAGGAAGGAATTCTTGAAATTCAGAAAAATCTTTGGGTTTAGAGCTGACATGAGTAATTCTAGTGGCTTCAGTCACAAAGTGAAAAAACTGTGATTTTCAATGGTTACACCTTTCATTTGTCTCTAATTTGAAAGAAATTCTAGTTCTCACAAAAACATCCTAAAATAATGATTAGGAAGCAAATAATTTTCAAGGATTCAGCATTTGATCAGTATACTAGTGAAATTTGTTCAATGCAGTTGAAAAGGTGCATGATTTAAAAGGTGCATGATTTACAAAGTAATGTACCAGTAGGATTAGGACTCAGGTGTGGATTGTTAATTGTTGCTTATTGAAACAAGCCTGGCTATTTCTGTCACTTCTTCTGTTTGAGATGTTCAGTCACACAAGTGACATAAATGTGTTGCTTGCATTGCAACTCAGAAGCAGTGGGTCACTTATGCTGATGCGAAATACTTCAAAAAAACCCTCCATACCTGTTTGCAAATATGATGAAAAAAATCCGTTTCAGACTTTAAGATGGGAGATCATGTCTTACTGTGATGTCTGTGTTCAGCAGTATTAAGTGTAGTACCAGTATGCTGCAAACCTGGATGTTAATGTGGCTTGCAGAGAGTTTGCTACTGCTGCCTGTTCAGACCACTTAGTCAGGGTAAAGCTGGATTCTTACATTTCTTTATGCACTAAAAGTCAGCGACCATGATAATACCAGGGTTAAAAAGAGTAGTGCAAGCAACTAATTTTAATTTGACCAGAGTCAGTACAGAAAAAGGCAGAAAAAGTGTATTGTGATATATGTCCTTTTGGGCAGAGGAGTAGCTTTCCAGAGAGTGGGGGATGGTGTTTCTCAGCAGTGGCAAATAAATGACCATGAGAGATACCTGCATTGTGGTGTATTTAAAATTGTTATACTGAACTGTGATTGAATAGTTTGGCAATTGCTGTATAACTCCAAATTAATCACAGTATTACTAAAGGAAACAGATGGGAGGTGAAGAGGACTGCACAGGGCAAGTGCCCTTCCAACATGGCTATCTTCTTCCAGGAGACCCAGGGTCTTCCCTCCCTGTCTGCCAAGCCCTGTCTTAAATGCCTCAACTGTTTGCTGACTTTGGTTAATTCAGGGACAATTGGAGTTTCCCCATCCACCAGATTCCCTGCTGAGGTGGTGAGTGCTTTATCTTCTCCATGACCAACTTGGGAATGCAGGGCATCACTGGCCTCTGGTAAATGCCCAACTCAAGAGTGACTCCAGCCAGACAAATGGGAAAATATATACTGGCTGTTTAGTAACTAAGCTAAGAGTTCTGTGCATCCCTCCCAAGTCTGATTTGAGGGATTTTGAGGCCTCGAGAGTTGGCTGTGCAGCATGTGGGGTCTTCTTAACAAAATGTGGAAAGATTCTTGATTATCAACTTTTTGGAAACAGCTTGCTAAAATGTAGCATTTAAAAATACATATTGATAAAACCTGGCATCATCTCAAATTTTAAGACTATGTCTCTACATGGTTTTGTGGTTACCCAAGGATTCTTTCAATAAGGCAGAACAAGTATGGGAAGAGGTTTGGCAGTGATACCATGGATCTCTGTGTGTGCTAGTTTAACTTGCATTGAGTAAGGGGAGGTTAGATCATGCAGAGTGGGGCTGGGCTGCTGCACTTAGAGTTCCTGGTACTCGACTAGTTGGTTTAAATCAGTTTGCTGTGTCTAGGAGCTACCAAAACTATTGAGTCTCTGGGGCCAGTCACTGACAGGTTTTGCTGATGTGACAAGGACATGTCCTGGACATTACTTCAAGAGGTAGGATCTGGTAGGAAGCAGTAACAGCTATCCCTGTGCTAGGAGGTTGCAAATCCTGTTTATGGATTTCTTTTAGAGCACTGGATGTTGAAAACAGTACTTTCTCTAGGGAAATAATTATTCAATTAACTGGGTATTTATTTTGATAATAAGTTTTGTTGTTGTTGAAAGTGAAAACTAGTATGGGATAAGATCTGCTTATTAGAGGGCTTGTTCTTGGGTTTTATAGGAGTGGGGGAGGCAGGGAAGGATGAGTTTACTGCCTTTGGTGCTCAGGGTAGAATTTTTGCCCTGCTTTTCTGCCCTTCCTTAAAGAAGCTGCCATTGGAAACCAGAGTCCTTGGCAATGTATGGGAAGTACAAAAGTAAGCACTAAGGTCTCAGCACTGAGACCAAGTTACCTGTGTTTCTCTAAAGTATCGAGTGTTTGCCAGCCCATTAAGTATCAAGGCTGTGTTTAACATTCTCCCCAAACCTCCCTCCACTCTCTGGTAAAAAAAGTAACATTGGAAAAACTTAATAGAACAACTAGTGTGCTGAAGATTTACATAGGTATCTGTTGACAGGGAGTTAATGTGTCTTTGTGGGTTATATACTGCCTTGGTTTAAAAGTGATGCTGTTAAATTCACAGGCCACGTGTTCAACCAAGCAAAAGATCAAATTGTAATACTGGAATCACTTGGATATAAATGTAAATGTTGGAGAAGATGTTGAATTACACCAAATCACTTGTTACAACAGTCTCTTGCTTCTAGAGGAGCACACATACCCTTGGTTAGGTCTTTTCAGCACCAAAGCTAACAGTTGCTTTTGTTCTCCTGCCTTTTCCTGGCCTGTACCAGGGAGGGTCTCAAAGAACAGCAATGGTGATCAGCTGATTGAGAGATGCAGGGATGCAACTGATGACTTCTGTAGAGTTTAACAGCAGCATCTTGGAGATTTTTTTGTCTCCTATGGGTCATTGTACCTCTCTGTTGCAGTTCAAAATGTAGTGATGGAAAAGTAGCAGTGGGTTAGCTCTGCAGCAACTATATTTCATGATATATTCAGTGATGTTTTTGTGTAAATAGCTCTTACTGCTAACCTGTGTTTAACTTAGAGTGCAGGATATGTGCTGGAATAGGAGAGTGTATTACTGGCAGGCCAGTGTTTTACCCTCACAAGTATAGTGGCTCTTCCACACATAGAGCAAGGACATGGTTGGGATCCATAAAGCATCCTTTGGTAAAGAGTAGCCTATCTTAAACCTCTTCTTCCTGTCAGTAAAAAAAAACAAACCAAAAGTGCTTGCATATATTAATGCTGTTACTGTGTTATTTATATGGGCAGCTATCTAATGTGTAGATTGGAATCTATGTTCCTTGCATTCATGCTGGAGTGGCAGGAAGAGACCCACCCTCCCACACATGTATTTTAGACTTGAATGCAAGGAACCTGTATGATTTTTCTTGATGAAGAAGTGTGCTGTATTTCTGTGTGCAGTATCACTTTGCATACTTCATTAACTTCTGGTGAGTGAACCTAGAATGTAGAAAGAAAAAAAAAAATGGGGGAATTTTTTTTTCTGGGGGGGGACAGTAAAGTGCGTTTACTTTTTGAAGTAAAATATGAATTTTGACTTTCGGTAATCTGTTTTGTGTTCTCTTACAGTAAAGTGAAGTATTGAGTAGTAAAAACTTATTTTGAGTGTCACACAAACACTGTGGGGAAAACTACAGACCAAATGATAAAAGAACACCCTTTTTTTAATTGAATGAGAAAAATTTAATTTAATGAGAAAATAAAATTTCTCATTTAGTTTTAGATAGTATGTGGACATAGTGTAGAGAAACTTTTAGAGGAGACCTTATAATTGCCACTGATTTGTATCTGGCTTTGGTGTCAGGTCTTTAGACAAGAGCAAACATCATCACAAGGGATGTTACAGCAGATATTTTACTCTGCTGTAAGAAACAGTAAGCAGCACTTACTACTGGAGATGAAATTATGGTGGTTTTTTTAAGTGAGTTTGCAATTTGCAAATTTTGCTTTTGCAGAAGCACCTTGAGTTCAGTTTGCTTGCAGTTATTCAGATGAATTAGTTGTTGGTAAAACAAAAGAACAGCTGAAGACTGGGTGACATCTCACAAATCCAAAGGGATAGTTGAATTTTTTTCTATTTTTGCTGGATTTTCATGTTGGCTACTGTATTTATGTGGTACTTTCATGCTGGCATAACCCCCGCTTCCTCATGTTTCCAGGGAGGAGTCCTCTGTCCTTGCTCACAGCTGTGGTGGCCTTGGCTGGGACCAGCCATCCTCCTGCAGCTCTGCTTCCCAGGGATGACTGTGCCAGGCCAGCTGTTTCCAAACCCACGAAGAGTGCTGATGTACCCCTGTGGACACCCTGGGGCAGGGTGTGTGCCTGGGCCGCCTCTGCCAGAGGGCAGGGGTGGCAGGGGGGCTGCGGAGGTGGGAGAGCAGCCGTAGGTTAAAGCAGCATAAGGACAGCTAAAGGTCAGGCAGGGCTTACTCTTAAGTAAAACTGAATGAAAATTACTTCCCTGCTGCTTTTGCTGCCCTGCTCGCTTCTCCAGCAAGCGTGTTTATGGAGGAAAATATAACCTGAATATGCCAGGAACGGGATGGCAACCCACCTGCAGGGACCTGACCTCCCCTCCATGCTTGCTCCCTCTCACTCAGTGCTGCCACAGAGACTGATCTCATCTCCTGCCGTGGCTGGCGCAGCCGCCAGCTGTCCTCAGATGCAGACAAAATATATTTCTTTAAGTCACTTCCCTGTTTCCTGAATCTTGTCCACTTTGTTATCCAACTTTATCCAGTACCTAGAGAGGTCTGTCAGATTTTTGGACCTTAAATGTAAAAGGAAATCTAAAGGTCATAAATTACATCCCCAAACAAAGCTAAACTTCAGAATTCTGGCAAAAGTGACACCGGTGGGATCAAGCTCCAAAAATCTGAGCTCTAGTTCAGGTGCTCAGGTGTCACATGGCACTTGTTCACTGTCTTAATACACAAATAGGTGCCCAACTTGGGCTCTCTAATGTGTAAGCTGATACTGAAACCTGAAGAAAATTGCAGTTGTATCCTGAAGGCAGAACTCAAGCTGCTGTAATGGTTTTTCATTCATTAAAATAAGTTAAATTTCAAAGATTTATTTTTATATATATATTAGGGTTTTAATTCAATGAAGTACTTAGTGAATGAGATGTGAAACTGGAGGGAGTGTTGGTTTTTTTTTCCTGCAGAAAAAATGACAATATTTGGCCCAAACACTAGAGGATTCTGTAAAAACAATTACACATACTCTAAAGGAAATCATTCAAATAAATAGTTGTGTGTAGTGGCTGTTTCTAATTGGGCTTGATGTTTTATCACAATTACTTTTCCATTTAGGAGGGATGATAGGAGCTATAAAACTTGATGCAAATTAGCAGAGTGAAATAGTTTTGTTTTCAACTGCTCTTTGAGTCTTTGCACCTCTTTTAAGAATATGCTTAGAAAATATTGCAGTATCACATCTAGGAAGAAAACTGGGTTGTTTTGGAAATCAGAAGTGTATGTCCTAATAAATAGTTTGAATAGAACTAGAAAATAGGGAAGATTATACGAAAGGAAATTTCTTTTTAAAGCTTTGGATTTCACTTTAACCTCATGGAGAACAGCTGTCATTATTCTTAATGTAAAAACTAGACGAAACCCTCCTAATTTTAATTGTATGTAGTATCTGAGTACCTTCCACCTATAGCAGAGAAGAACTGGGATTTAACTTCTTAGGATAAGTGTGGGGGAGGGATAAGAAGAGACAGCATGCTGCTTGTTGGTAGGATTTTTGGCTTGGGTATTTCGTGCATTATTTAGGTATGACGTTTGTACCTGAAGTTTTTCTGACGTTTGAGATGTGTGGGTGTGTGCAGCAGGTAATGGGGCAGTGGCTTTCTGGAAATGTGCTGTTAATGTGCTGCATGGCTCAGAATGCACTGCTGTGTACATGTGCCTATATGAAAATATATATAAAAATATTTCATGCAGCTTCTAAGAAGTGTTGAGATCCAGGAATTATAAAAATGGTGATTCTGGTATTTCTGAATACGTAGATTGTTGGTGTTTTCTGGCATGTTTTATGAATTAATGTATCTGCTTAGTATTATATTAACTGTGTGGTATTGCAGTGTTACATAAGCATTGGATTGGGAGACTGCATCTGTTTTGAAGTATATAGTGACTTTGTTTAGATTTAGTAATTAAAATTGTATTTCTTAATGGAAATGGAATTTAATGTGGAGCTTTGGTGGAAATGCTACTTCGTTAGTATTGCTACAATATGTGTATGAGAGCACAGTTCTGGTCTGAATTTTACAGGAGGCGGAGTTACAATAGTCGACTGAAATTGCAGACTTGATTGGAGAAGTGTTTGGATGTCTTCTCTGATAGTCACTTCCAGGTTGAGTTTTGGAGTGTTTTTAGCAAACTCTCAAGATATTTATTTGTTTCACTAATTTTTTTGTTCACAGATGTATTTCCTTGCTATATAGCAGGGGAAAGCCTTCACCCAGGCAAGATTAATCAGTGTTACTTTTTCCCTTTCTATCTTCTTTAACCAGATCTTCTCCATCCTGTTCATTAACTAATTTTAATGCTCATAAAGTACTAGAGTGACAAGCCAGGAGAAGTCATTCCGTCATGTCAGTTTAGGAAGGATAGATAAACTGGTGGAGTGAGTAAATGCATGATCAAACTACCTCTGGTTTGGCTTGCTTTAAATAAATACAGAGACAGTTTGGTGCCTAATCTCCACCTGCCATTAACGTAGGGAATGAGAGGTGAGAAATTGTCACACAGAAATTTATTTTGACAACTGTAGTTAAAGAAATACAGAACATCAATTTAGTTTCAAAGCAGTAACTGCTTGACTCAAAGTGCTTGGACTTCTAAGTGCTCATACCCACACTTGTAGTGCTTGCTACTTCCTTCCTTACGCCTTCTTCTGAGGTAGTTTTTTATCTAGTAGCTGAAGGATGATCCCTTTTGACCATGTTCAAGCTTTTAAAAAAAAGTGTATCTCCCTGCAAGAAAAAAGCTGACACAATTCAAAGTAGTGGGTTTTTGACTTCTCCAAAATTACTTTAAAGACATTAAAACATTGTCCTGCAGATGATATGGATGCCTGAAAAATGAATGTAAGCCTACCAGTAGACTAATCTTCTTAGTTCCTTTTGCAGACCTGTAGGAAGCAATGAGTGCAGTGTTAAAACTGCTCATGTACTGCTGTATCTGTACTGCAGTTGGAGACCTCTGAACAGGGTAATAACACTAGTCAGCAAAGATAATGACAGAAGTATAACTGTTTGGTAGTGTTAAGCACAAACTGTTTTGCTTTATTATTTGAAGTACAAGCAGATGCTACTCTAGTTTCTCAAGGAAGTTCCTTACGTAGAAAGGCGGGGTTAAAGAAATGGAGCTTTTTGTACTGAAAACAATGCAATAGTTTAGCCTGTCTGCCAGCTTTTTCTTTGTATGACCTGTCATCTTAAGGATGAAGTGCCTTTAATAATAAAAGATTGAAGTGGGCTGGTAGAGGAGGGGTCTTTCAGAACAGTTTAAAGTCATTTGCAAAGTAAATAATAGCAGGTTACTTAAAAAGATGTGAGAAAGTTTTGTTTTGTTTCCAAGTCAAGATAGACTGAAGGTGTGCCTTAGTTGTTAAAGATGTGCCTTAAGTGATTTGTTAGTTAACCTCATAACAATGGTCAGTGATAATTATTTACTACTAAAAGTACTTATTTTGGGGGGGACAGGGGGGAAGGTGTTTCTGTAGCTTTTGAGGTTGCTGAAATAAATTGTCCTTGTCTGTCATATCAAGAGTGCCAGAGACTGCTCTTTTGTATCTAGTGAAATACTCTCAGGTGTACCTGTGTATTTCAAGTGTAGGAAGTAGAGGGGAGGAAGGAGGCTGTGCTGTGCACTGTACAGTGTATCAACACATACCTGTCCAGTGTTGGTGAAGACTAAGAAGTGCCCTTTCAAAACTGAGTATCAAATTGAGAAGTAGAATTGAGTAGAAAACAGTGCTCATTGCTGTACAATCTCTTCCATGCAGCAGGTACGAAACAGCTTCTCTGAAATACACAGAATAACCCTGAGATTGGTGAGGTCATTTATCTCAGGTGTTGTGGACTCCCAGAGCTGTGAGTAATGCAGTACAAATGTTGGTTTTGATTTGAAGAGAAGCCCAGGTATTTATGTAACAATAATTGTATCAGAAAAGCTTTGGGAGTATCTTTGCTGTTTCTCTTAAGTTGTTTACTGTTAAGAACTCTTACCTGTATTTTCACCCTGTCTGCTGTTGCTCCACACACCACTGCAGCACCATATTCCATCCATGTTTTGTGGCTTCTTGGTTTAAATACTCAGCTGAGTGTGTAAATCACGTTTGCAGGTCTGATAGAGTTCTGGCTTTAAGCTGTATGTTTCCTTAGTAAGGAAGCAGCTGTGTATCTCTTCAGGGCTAGTAGTTTCCCCAAAAAAGAATCATTAAGTACTCATGGGAGTGAAACTAGTGTCTGAGTTTATGACTGAAAAGGGTTAAAGCTGTCAAACTGCAGGGACACTAATGCAGAAATGACATTGATATTAAGGAGAATAGGATGTAGTGTGTTGCTGCTCATACTCTGGCTGGCCTAGCCTGCATGCTGAGATTCAGTCTGTCTTTAGTCTCCTTGTGGCTGTTGTGATGTCGCTGCAGCACCTGAAGATCCTGCTGCAACGAGGCTTTGCATCCGCTCGGTCGGAGCTGACTGCTCCATTGGAGGAGCTGTAGATGGGGATGGATGTCTGCATCAGTGACCTTCAGCTTACAGCCTGAGGATTCAGTGTAACTGCAGCCACTACAGGCAGGCTGGGAAGCCTTGGGACAAAGGCATGGGTCCTGTCTGTCCACTCTTGGAAGTGAAGGCCACAGGCTTTGGAGAGAGGCCAGGAGAGAGGTGTGATTGTTTCTAGTTCAGTCTGGATTTGTCTGCAGACCGAGTATAGGACATACTTTGAAACAGTGTCAAAAAGTGAACAAGCCACAGTGAATTTAAAAGGAGTCATTGAATGCTTTCTTAGAAGTTGCTGAGTTTCATAATCTGGAACGGAGTCTTCCAGATGTGAGTTAGACATGCTACAGGTTCCTATACTGAGCAGACAAGAGAAAATATATGAAGGAAGCGGTAAAAGTAAAATGGGTTGGCCACCTTGCCTCTGTTTTCCTTTCTCCTGTCAGTATAATGTAGATGACATCAGATGTGATTTTTGAAAATATAAGAACTTTGCTTAAACTGATTTACTGTTTTATTTTGGCCCTGTATCTGCTCTGTACCCACCGGTACAAAACATTCTGCGTCTTGCCATACAGAGCTACTGGGGCAAAACACTGAGACCTGAAAGAGGGCAAGACAAGTGTAAAAACCATAGTGTTCCTCATTACCTGCACAGCCTCGTTTAGGAAAGTCCTGAATGCATGGGGATTGTCTCCTTTTGGCTGAGACGTATAGATCAGATCCTGGCTTTGTGTGGGTGTTATGAGGATCCACTGCCATGCTGTTTCCTTGTCAAATTGTTATGAATTTTAATTATTACTTTGAAACACTGGCTGATGGCTCTCACGGTAGTCAGTCCACCCTCCCTTGTATTTTTTTTGGCTTTTGTTTTCCAAGCTCACGTTTATTTAGAACGTTATATATCAGTGTTGCTGCGGGGTTTTGTAACGCTGTCCTACGCTAATGACACAAACCAGCCTTGCTGCTGAGGAATGTGGGGGACAGGCAGGCAGCAGCAGCAGCAGCAGCCCCGACTCTCGCAGAGGCCAGGACGGCAGCGTGTCCCTTGCTGCAGGAACAGAACCGGCCTTGCTGGGGGAGCCAGCTCCTGCGGGGAGCGAGCTTCCGTGGCCTGCCTTCCCACGGGAAGGTAGAGAGCGTTCTTACAGGGTGGGAGATGCTGTTGTCCAGGATAAGCCCTGCTTGGAGTCGGCTTGAATTTTAGCATGAAAAGCCTCTCAGTTCTTGAAGCTGTTTTCCTAAAGAATCCCCTCCTTTTCCTTTTAAACTTCACCAGAAGAAGTTATTTAGGCGCTAGACACGGCAGTTGAGCCTTTGAGGAGATGCCATCATCTGTTGCTTTGAGCACGCCACAGGAGTTCCCGCAGTCGCGGAGCAGGAGCGTTGAGTCCGTCCCGCAGGACGTGCCCTTTCAAACCGGCCCACGCGTGACAGCGGGCTCGGCGCCGGCGGCAGCCCTCACCCCG